GAGATGATGTACATAAAAGATAGGGAAACTCAAAGCTTAAAGAAACTACTTATGATTATTAAGATAAATCAAAATGGGGCTTTCATCTTAAGTTTAAAAAAAGACTTTTGGGCTGAAATGTACTTTACATCTTAAGACAATCTGGAGAATATGAGCAACATATTAAGAAATATAGATGATAGTTCAAAATGTATTTCCATTCGTCCATTTCCAAACTGCTTTATCCAGTTCAGGGTGACAGGGGAGCAGTAGCCTATCCTGACAAGCAATGGGCGCAAGGTGTGGTCCAGTCCATTGCAGGGTACATACACACACTCTGACACCTGGGCTCATTTTCTCGGAAGCCAGTGAACCTGCCAGTATGGTTTTTATTTTTTTGGACTGTGGGGTGAAACTGGAGCACCCAGAAAAAACCCATGCAACCGCGGGAGAACATACAAACTCCACTCCTCGTAGCACACCAGGTCCAGAACTGAGCTCAGGGCCCAGATGTGCAAGTCAGCATCCACTGTGCCAATGTGCTGCCCAGAATGTATATCCTAAATTTAAATTTAAGGAGAGTACCTGATCTCTCTATGTACTGATTCCAGATTAGTAATGGATTTTTGATAATGTAGTGAAAAGAATTGTATACAGCCAAGTAAATTGTTGAATTAATCTTTTATTACATGTCTTAATAAAGATTGTTATCAATAAGATTGTTATCGTTTACATTAAGAATAACAATATTGCAAACAAATACTAAAGAATTGAGAATCAAAATGGCACTTAGAGTAAAATTTAAATAGAGTAAATTGTTTTTTATTTAGAGTAAATAAAATCCTCCATTGTAGATTTGTCTATAATTTACCTAATTTCTTTGTCTTCTCCCTAATTTGTTTAAATGGTAGAAATATTACCTACATAGAAAATTGCTTTGATTATTGTAATCTGGGAATGCAGGAGTTAATGGTAACATATTTTCAAAACAATTGCATTTCCCAGCTGCTTTCATGGAAATGTATTTTCATTCAGTCCTGTCTTCCCTTTCACATGAAGGAACACAGGAATGAAGGAAACTAAAATGAAGTTAGCTGGTTTTGACAGCTCCCAAATTACAGTCAGCTTCCAGGCATGAGCATTGCAGGCAGGCCTAACTGCAGATAAAGACCTACATACTTTTAAATCTTATAAAGCTGTATGGAGATTGATACCCTTAAATTGAACTTGGTTGCATTCATGAGCAGCTGGGTTACATTTTTTTGCAAAAAAAAGAGAGCATCAACTGATTTAATTGACCTCCATTTCTGTTTTGTATGTGAGAGCTCCCATTCTTTGTACACAAGTGACTATTACTTCTTTATTGCTAGAGAGTGTACTGTATTACCATATTAAAGGGAACTGCAACACTATTTTTGTATTTGTGGTTTAGAAAGATTAGAAAGCATTGATCAGTGCATGTCAATCCACAATAAAAGTATAATGTACACATTAACGTAAAACCTCTAATTTACATTGCAAAATAGACTAAATTTGCAGATACTGTACAGTATGCACAGTACCATATTGCCATCATTGCCTGCACTTCAGAACATGGCAACAAAACATCTAGTGACGTGAAGTGGCCCCATTACATTGTAAACAAGAAGGCTTGGGAATACATTTCTTTTAATTCAACAGAAATATTGATTTCAACTTTGAGACTGTTTTGCAGACAGCTCTGCATGCAGATCATGCTGGAACATTTCTGCAGTGAAATGTCTGCTGTAGGAACTGCTTCATTTTTCTACACTGAAAAAGGTTATGATTGGCAACTTCAATTATAAACATACAATAATTCTGTGTTGCCTGTAAAAAACTGTTTCTTATCTCTGTAGGTAGCTGTGTTTTTGATTTGATGATCCTGAGAGTGACAACCAGAGCATTGAGCAAATGTTGTATTTCATGTACTGAATATTTATGCCCTCATAAAAAATTTGACATTGTTGTAAGTTGTAAAATCTATTTGTTTATAGTTTAAAGACTTAGATTATGTTTTTTTCCTCTTCATTTCGCAGTTTAAAGTTTAAACCTAATAAAAAATAATGCTAACAAGTTCTGCAGAATTTCAGTTTTCCAGACCTGCCTTGACATCAGGGGTAGAATATAATTTGTAAACTGTCAAATGCTAATATAAATAGTTCAATTTTATTATCACCTTCCAATGGCTACAGAAGAGTCCCCTGATTCACTCAGAAAAATAAGATCAAACAAAATATATCAATGCAGTATTAATCAAGTTCTCTTGTTTAGCTATATCACTATATCATAAATGAGGCAATAAAAACACCTGGCATTAAGATTCATCAGTATAGCAAAGGATCCAAAAGAAACTATTTGCAGTTGTTGTGTTACAAGCAAAACCATGTGTGTTTTTTTGTGTGTACCACTATATTGTGAAATATAAACATGTATTTAAAAAGGCTAGCTGATATAATTTTCTAGATGCAGTTCAGGTGGTAACTGAATGTATCACCACAAGCTGGTAAAAATGAAAAACGTCTTTTAAAATTCCAACAGAACGAACACCAGCTAAACCAGAATGAAGAGTTTTAGGGTCATTACATACAGTAACTCCCTTATAACCACTAACAAAAGTATGAATAGCAGATTTGATTTGAGTGTCATTTTTACTTTGTCTACTAATTATAGTGTCTAGTGGGGTATGTTAAGAGAAGGATGAACAAGATGATGAATGCAGAGAGCATTTTTTCTTTGATCTTGTGAACTAAAGGAAGCTATACCCGTAATTAACTCACCAGGGCGTATTTCTGTGACCCTCTCTGTCAGGGAAATGTATCAATATGTCATGAATTAGTGGCTTCAGGGAAGGTTGTGAATGCAAAGCTTTGAAAGTGACCACTGAATGAGTTAATTGCACCAGTCTTCAGAATGTGTATTTCTGCCATTGATTTTTTTTTGTCTTTTCTTCTTTCCCATAAAAGCATGTGACAGTGAACACTGGGGCCCTCACTGCAGTAACCGCTGCCAGTGTAAGAACAGAGCCTTGTGTAACCCCATTTCTGGGGCATGTATCTGCACTCCTGGATTCAAAGGCTGGCGATGCGAAGAGCGCTGTGAACCTGGGACATATGGGACTGGATGCCAGCAGAAATGCCAGTGCCAAAATGGAGCTACCTGTGACCATATCACAGGAGAATGCAAGTGTGCCCCTGGCTACACGGGAGCTTTGTGAGTAAACTCTACTTTCTAGGTGTTAAATGGTTTAAGAGAACAATAGGAAAAAATATTCAAATTCACCAATACAAATTTATTTTTTGGTGTGGCAGTGTATACTGTATGACTGTACTGACAGAATGAGGGTAATAGAAGGGGCATACTCAGGGCATGCAAACATTTATACCACTTGCAACTTTGCCATTGAAGTGTTTCTAGTTCTCAGTTGCAGTCTTATGAGTGAAAATACAAGTACTAGGAAGTTCAAGTTCAAGTTTATTGTCAATCCAGCCATATACAAGTATACAGAGGAGCAAGATATCGATCTCCAGCTCTACGGTGCGAATACAGACAAGACACTGACTAGACACTGCTATAGACAATGTAGACATAGACATTGCTGACAAGGTACAAGGTACAGGGTACGTAAAGTGCAATGTGCATAGTGCAATGTACTTTACAGGACTGTCTAAAGATTACATCAGGCAGAATGCCTGACATTCGGCAAACAAGAACTAGGTTTCCAGATTTGGATTAGGTGTAGTAGGTACCATGGTGTTGAGGAGCCTGACAGCCTGTGGAAAAAAGCTGTTACGGAGTTTGGTGGAGCTGGCCTGTATACTGCGATACCTTTTACCAGATGGTAGGAGGACAGAGAGGTTGCAGGAGGGGTGGGAGGGATCATCCACAATACTGGAGGCTTTGTGTGAGCAGTGTTTGTGGTACATGTCCTGAATGGACGGAAGGTTCGAATGTTGTTTCCAACTGTATTGACAATTCGTTGCAGGGACTTGCGGTCTGAGGCCTTACAATTCTCAAACCAAACCATGATACAGTTTGTCAAGATGCTCTCGATGGTACCTCTATAGAATGTGGATAGTTTAGGGGGGGAAGGTTTGCCACAGGAAGTGGAGACGTTGTTGTGCTGTTTTAGCTAGGGGGTGGTGTTGATGGTCCAAGTGAGGTCATTTGTGACATGCACACCAAGAAACGTAGTGCTTCTAGCTGTCTCCACAGGGGAGCCGTTGATGTGCAGTGGTTAGTAATCAGCGCGGGCCCTCCTGAAGTCAATTATCATCTCTTTTGACTTATCGAAATTCAGTGACATATTGTTTTTTAACATTGATAATGATTTAACATTGATAATTGATAATGTAATTTACACTGTGCTTAGCAGTGCAGTCATGAGTTATCAGCGTGAACGGGAGTGGGCTGACTACACAGCCCTGGAGGGTTCCAGTGTTCAGTATGGTGGTACTAGAGATGTTGTTTCCAATCCAGGCTGTCTGAAGTCTCTTGGTCAGAAAGTCCAGAATCCAGTTGCAGAGGGAGGCTTTGAGATTCAGCAAGCTCAGTTTTTCTGTTAGTTTCTGGGGGATGATTGTGTTGAATGCTGAACTGAAGTCAATGAACAGCATTCTTACATAAGTGTCCCTCTTATCCAGATGGGACAGGGCAAGGTGAAGGGTGAGGGATATGGCATCATCTGTAGACTGGTTGGGATGATACTCAAACTGGGGGGGGTCCAGAGAGGTGGTGAGTCTGGACTTAATGTGGCCCATGACTAGCCTTTTGAAGCACTTCATGATAATTGGTGTGAGTGCCACGGGGCAATAGTTATTGAGACAGGACACAGTAGACTTCTTTGGCACTGGTATAATCATGGTGGTCTTGAAACATACAGGGATGACTGTCTGGCACAGGGAGATATTAAAATGTCTGTAAAAACATCAGCTAACTGTGCTGCACATTCCTTGAGCATGCAACCAGGTATATTGTCAGGTCCAGCAGCCTTACGTTGGTTAGCTTTTGCTAGTGGATGCTCTTGAACTATTGCAGTTAGTCTATGGGATGAATGCATCTGTTGTCCATGACCGTAAGTGGCTTAGGGTGTGTCAGAAGGTGTGTCAGAAACAATTCCAGGTATTTGGTTGGAGACCTTGTAGTTGAAAAAGAAAAAAAGAAAGATAGAAGAATTGTGAAGGTTAACATCCTGAAAAAACAAATAACCTTCTACTGAAGTAAACCATTGCCTTGGACAGTGTTTGATTTAGACCACTGACTGCTTAGACAAGATCATTTAGTTGGCAGTATGGGCATTTGTGAGAAATTGCTGGTACAATTCTATTTGTACCAGTAAATTGCAAAGATTTACTTTGACTATTAGGAATTAATTGACATAATAACAACAAATCTTCACATGGATTTTTAACATATGTAATACATTTATTAATACATAAAATGTGTACATAAAAGCATTTAAACTAAATATGTGAAAATCTGCCTGCATAAAAATGTCAGCAAGTTACGTGAGGGATATCAAGATGTAGCAGATATCAAGAAGAGATACAAAAAAGGCATTAAAGCCTGTTACTGTCACATGCCTCCAGAGGTCATTTCAGCCTGCAAAGATCTCCTCTCAAATACTTTAACTCCCAAGATAAGGATAAGAAAACAGCTGAAATGGTCCATTGCAGCGTTGTCCAATCCTTGCTCTGCTCACTCAATGCTTGTTCATTCCTGGTGCAGCTCAGGGTATTAAGGAGAGAAGTCCTGCTGTACTGTAGCTTCACACCGACAGTCAGTTCTGTTCAGAACTGGGATTTCCAGGTCAAGGGCGAGTCACAAAGAAAGTGGAGTAACTCAGTTTGCTCATAGGTTTAGTGGCTACTGCTGAGAAATTAGATATTCAAGTTGTGTCAACAAAGTCTAACCATATTGCTCCAGTGATCAGGCTGATGCACAGTGGCAGCTAGCTGGATGCAAGGTCCTGGCTGCAGGGTAGACCTGGGGCAGAATTCTGCCTTCATGTACATTCTCAATCTCTAACTTGATGTTTGGGGGCAAACGTTGAAGTGTCAATGTTTAGACAACAGTCATGTCAGTCACATACCGTAGTTCTGCTGTCAGTCAGCCAAGTTGGATCAATGGAGAGAAGCAGAAGTTAGAAGTGAAGTGCACTGCTTTTAAACTGTTGGTGATTGGTTAAAGTGTCACTGCTTTGAGTTGATCTTCATGTCCTACAAGTGCCTGGTTGGCTGGTCATCTTTTTGAGTGATTGATCACAACCTGTAACTATAAGACCATCATATAAAAATAACTATGGCTCTCTCAGACATCCAGGCGCCAGGGTCGGACCTCTATCATGGGGAGTGCTGGTACTGGTTGGTGTTGCTGTCCTTGGAGATGCTACCTCAATCAAGAACAACTTAATCTCCCTACATTCCATTACACAAAGATCATTACCTTTTCAGTAGCAGGGACCACAGAGAAGAGCCTCAATGAGGAATCTACAGCAATACTTAATTCTGTGGCTTATTAATAAGCATTTGTTACTACATTGCTGCAAGCATTGCTCCTTTCCTTCAGTCAGGGATTGGTAAACAAACTGCTGTTGTTAAGAAACACTAATGGAAATAGACTCTCAGAATTTTCATCCAAAGGATCTGACATTGATTTTGTACTAAAGAACACGCAAATGAACTTGCTTATAGTGACAAGCTACAGGTGTTTCAAAAGGAAAAGTAATGCCACAGGGTAGTAATGCCACAACTGGAGGTGTCAGCATCAGCCAACTTAATGCTCTTGAACAACCAACAAATAAACATTTTAGAATCATTGGAAGTGACCTCTTTTGCCAGACTCCTAATAAATGCCTCAAAAGCATTTATCCACATGCTGATAGGCTAGTCAGTTGCTGAAGCTGTTCTAAATTGATGTTGATGGTGTTCATTCTGTATGTTAATTACTGATGTTTCAATAAACAACAAAAAATTGTAATTCTATATTCAGCATTGACTGCTTTTCAATGTCTAGAGTATGTCTGTTTCTGCATTTCCATGCAGACACTGTGTGTTTTTAGTTCTGAAGTGAATAGGAGAAAGTGTGCCACAATACAACAAAGGATTCCTGTTTGATTTTTTTTTTAATATTGAAAATATCAAGGGATAATCAACAGATGATGTGTGATTAAGAGGGTAAAGAGAAAGATGGTTGTTGGTTCTGATGTCCCCTTTCTTGGCGTTAAAGCTGTGAAGACCTCTGTCCTCCTGGAAAGCATGGTCAGCAGTGTGAGGAGAGATGCCCCTGCCAGAATGGAGGAGTGTGCCACCATGTCACTGGGGAGTGTTCTTGTCCTCCAGGCTGGATGGTAAGACTAATCTCTGTATTTTACAGTATGTGTATGTGGACTGTTCATTCATTTTCATACATTTGTCTCAGACAGAAAATTAAATTTGAAGACACAGCACATGCCTTTTATTTAAGAAGATTCTTTTACTTTTCAAAATGCCAGAAACAGAGTTACAAATTACAGATGATTAAATGATAGTCCTGTTGGACACGTGCCATTTCGAATATAGTTTTATCAAATACATTTTTGATGGGCTTTGCTGGGCTTCTCAAAATTTGATATAAAATAAAAGAGAAAATAATATATACTAGGTATTTATACATTTAGAATAAATTCTCAATACATTTGAATTACTTTGTGACTCACTTTCAAAGGGGTTTACCTTATTATGTGAGAAAATAAATTGTGTCCTTTTAAAAAGGTTTTGTTGATTTTGTTAAGAACTACATTTAATCCTATACTTTATGCTATGAAATGCATAATATGCCACACTATTGTATATTATAAATGGCAGGACTTTTTCATATTTCTCAAAGAACATATTGACTGGTTTCAGAAAATGTAGCTGGGCCTTTTTGCATGAGTTGTTTATCTCACTGTTTTAGATCATCTGTGAATCAAGTTGATAATGAAATGTAAATGGTCAGTGATGCTGATCTTACAACTCCTGGGTTTGAGCCTTCCCTTCAGCGTCTGCCTGTATGGGATCTGCATATTCACCCTGTGTTCTCATGATTTTTTACAGCATGCTCTAAGTCCCCCAACATGCATAGTCTTGCTTGCTAGGTGTGATTGGCTAGTCTGAATTATCACTTTCTCTTGGCCTTGCAATAGCGTGCCCACCCCGGAGATGAGCAATTGTGTAGGCATCGTCTTGACCCTTACCAGGATAAGTGACTTACTAGTAATGAATGTACTGTAAATGACTAGAAAATAACACAGACTTCTTCATGGACAAAGCCATTTCCATTAACTTGAGCGTCAAATTTATCATCACAGTCCACTACCTACTGTTTTCAATTTCCTCTCAGTTTATGCAGTTAAGTGAAATAAAAATTACTGAATGGATAATTCCAGGATGTCATAAATTCTTTAACAAAATATACCGTGACTTTTGATTACCGCAACTAAAGATCTTGTCATACAATATAAATGGTTGTGTGTATAATTATTTACTAATAACATAATGAGAAGAGGCCAGCCGGCCTATTTAGAACTTTTGGTATTTAGTAGTCATTCTCTTCATGGGTGTGATTCAGATAGCACTTGAAAGAAGCCAGACTAACGGCTTTAAAAAAATGGCTAGCTTGTTCCATACTCCCATAACCATTTGTGTTAAATGTGTGTTAGATCTGTGTAGTTTCCACTTGTGTCCTTTGTTTCCTCTTTTAATGTTTATTTTTGACTTTGTCAATCCCTTTGAAGATTTTGAAAACTTGTATCAGGTCGCTTAATCTTCTGTAATGAAGAATTTAAAAGGTTTTGTTCATTCGGCCTGTCAGTGTAGCAAACTGTACCTACAGTATACCAAAATCTAAATCATTCTAAATTAAAAAGAATAGTGGTCCTAGTATAGGTCTTTATGGTACTCCACTTATTATCTCTACTCCATTTAATCATTCACCCTGTATCTGTTTTCTATTAACCAATTCTTAACCCAAGCACATGTGTGACTTTTAATGCCTATATTGTGATTTCAGAGTAAATTGTTTATGAATAATTTTATTAGTCTTCTATAAAACTAAATAAATCATATTACAGTATATACTATGCATGTATCCATTACTGTTATTTCTTGTTCAAAGAACAAATTGGTTGGGTAAGACCTATTGTAGCTTTTCTAAATTCATATTGACTATTCTCTAGCATATTACTTCCATAAAAGTTAAAATAAATCCCCAGTTTAGTTCTAATAATTGATTCCATAACCTTACATGTATTAGAAGTCAGACTTTTTGGTCTGTAGTTACTAGGTTCAGATTTGTCACCCTTCTTATGAATGAACATAATGTTAGTAATTTTCCAATTTCGTGTTTACTGTTGCAAATTCCATTAAAAATCTTATTAATAATATCTCGTTTCCTGGACTACAACTGGTAAGTTACCATTGGGCTCTGTATATTTATTAATCTTGGGAGTTTCTTCTTCTTATAATATACTTAAATACAGAACATTGTTCTTCCGTTGCCTGAGGCAGGCATGTGGTTGACTTCTTCCTTAATTAACATTGAGCAAAATAGTTCATCTTTCATGTCCCTTTTATTTTCTAGAAATTTTCCATTTTTGCCCCAGATGCTGTATATTCCCAAACCAAAAGTGAAACATGAACCAAAAACAAAAGTTGACAGGGTAACTCAGTCTGTTCTGTCTCTGTGTGTGTGTCCTGTGGGATGTACATAGGGCACAGTATGCGGCCAGCCCTGTCCGGAAGGGAGGTTTGGGCGAAACTGTTCCCAGGAGTGCCAGTGCCATAATGGAGGAACATGCTTGTCATCCACTGGTCACTGCCTCTGCAGCCCTGGATACACAGGGGAGAGGTATGTAGAGTATGGCTTTCTTCACACATACTTGACTATGTGTCAAATATCTTGTGCATAGTTAATGCTTATAAAATTCACAGTGGGGAATTAAAATAGCATTACTTACTGCAAGCTCAGTAAGAGCTTTCCAGGAACAAATGATGTAACTGTATTTGCAGATGTTACACTTTTTGTGTAATCTATGAATACAAAACATGATTGCACAAAAAGTATTGTATTATTCTACCCTGACAAATTGAATAAATCTATTTTTTAGATATATCCACAATATATTTTAACACTGACACTTCTTAAACTTTGTTATTTCAATCTTGTTGTTTATAAAATTATGATCATATTTATGATAACACAATGATGTGTATTTATATTACAACTACAGTACTAGTGCAAACAAAATGTGCAATTGTGGTCATATGCCTGTTCTCAACTTCAGCACAGTTAGGATCTTTTGTCTGAACTCTCATTTTTTCTACGTTTTTGTGTCTCTTTTTTAATTATTTGTATTATTCTTCAGTGGTACCGTCAAACACAAATTAGTTAAGCCTTTTGCTTATAAAAAGAGCAAAGCAATGCCAGACCTTCAACCTACTTTCTCTCTCCAAAATTAGAATGAGCAAAATTGTATATAGCCAATTTAGAACACAATATCACAAGCTATTGATTCTCTATATACAGTACCAGTAACAAGGTCAAAGTAAAGAAAAAAGAAAAAAACACATCAGTTCTTCACAGAGGCAGGCTGATTTTAATTGGGATTACAGTATGTATAACAAATGGGCTGCTTTCTTTAAAGCTTTTCTCTCACTCATCGTTCTGTTTCTTACACTTTAGCTTCGTGAATTTTTTTGTGATCTTTGAATGTCGTTGAATATTAAATTATCTTTGTCAGTTTCAGCAGTGATTTGTTTCTGCAGAATTGCTCCTGCACGATAAAGATATGTAAACATTTACTGTATGTGTGAAAAGTTTTGAAAACACCAAATACCTAGTCAGTATATATTTATTTATATCTTGTTACAATGATTCAGGTAAACCAACCCCTTCTAATCTTGAACTAAATATAGAAAATATATTGTAATCCTTAAAACTCAAGTTAAAGAATAATTTAAGAGTTTATTTTTACTGCAGTGGTTACAAGTAAAATATGCTGGGTTAATAGTTGTAGTTTTATTGTTGGCAGGTTTAAGAAGGCATTAAAAGTCTTTGTCACGGATATCCTTATTAAGTTGATTGATTATTTGACTTAAGGAACTTAGTTATTTCTCTGCCAAAACATCTCAAGGCAAAATTCAAAGCAGTTTGTTATGACTTTAGATATGCTTAAATATCTTCTTTCATTAAATGCCAAAACTTAACAATTTGATACCATTTAACTTTCCAAAAGTTTGTTACTTTCCATGATTATGGCTCATGAACTACAATGGTTTCAATCAGAATGGTTTTAAGCTATCTTTTAGAAAAAAACTTTTACATTTGAGATTATTTATCCAAGACACAAAATAGCTTGTCATACAGTTCAGTAACCTTTCCCCATTTAATTTTATTTAATTTAATGCAGACACCTGAATGTTTGCATACTGTATGGTAGCCACAAAATAGAAAGACAACAGAGTCTAAAATTAAACTGTTCTTTTTTTGTTCTCACATCTGTAAGCCAAAATTTTCACTACTGTAACAAGGGACAACTACATTCAAAAACCAAAATTTGGTCTTTTCTATGTAAACTTGTCAAATCAGGATGAAATTATCATAAAGCAGACAACAATTGTTCAGTTCGATACAAGGCATTATAATCAAACACTGAAATAACTAATCACAACATTTATCCACAATTTAAGAAAAAAAATCTCAATACAAGTTTACAATATTTTGAGGAGATATCTGGTCGCTTCAAAGAGAGCACATGACTGAGATGGTAGTCTGGAGAAACAGAAGAACTCCCATTGCCAGTCAGCCTATTTTGCCATTGTGTTTTATAATAGATATTTATATTCTCTGAGACATGTCATTATGATTATGGTGAAATCAGATCTCTTCCTATTGTTTTTTCTATTTATTATGTATCTTTACATATAAACATACCTTTGTTGAAGTTGATCTGCAGTAGTGACAAATCATTTTTGTTCTGCACTCACTTTTAGTACTGAGATTACTTTGGTGGTGTTATTTGCTGTTGTATCTGAACACCGTGCATTGATTCTGATCATTTTGAGTCATGTTAAAAATTGTTTCTTCAAATGTAGATTCTTGGTTGTCCAGTTTATTTATTCTGTACTATGAATTTTTATGATGGCATGGATTTGGAAGTTCACCTAACTGCCTTTGGAGCTAGATTTTACCTGAATTATTGTTAATTAGTTATTTAACAACAACTATTGAGGTATACAATAATGTACTATTATTGGGGCCTCAGTGTTTTGACTCCATCTTATGTTGGCGTACAAGTCGGTTTTGACAAAGGGAAAGGATATGGGTGGAGCCTGGGCTCACAACTGGGGTCCGCTTTTATTTTGGGAGGACATCTGCATTTGGGTGGCTCTGGAGGAGTGTGGTAATCACGTAAGGAGTAAGGTTAAGGATCTCCATTCTATCAATGTTATTTTTCTCAAACCTCTTTGCAATTCCTCTGTATAGTCTGGTCATTCAGGACACTGTTTGGCTTTCTTTGCAATGGTTTTGGTCTCCAATACCCATGACTCTCCTATCAAATATGTTAGCTTTGTAGAATTGCTTTGAGGGAAACAGATATTGCCAAAATGCAGGAATTTCATTTGAAACAACTAAGTACTGTGTAGTGGCCTTCTCGTTCGCAGAGGTGAACACAAAGAGTAGCTTGATAGTATTCCAAATTAATTTTAAAATGTCTATGTACCGGTCAGAAGGTGATGAACCAGAAGGAGTGGTACATTTTCAACAAATTTTTCAGTTAAAAATAGCTTTTGTTTCAGTTTATTACCTTGCAATGTTCAAACCATTTTTTTTTAATCTCCTGACCAAATCCCTACTGAAACAAATGTTCGGTTACGGGTATTTACAACATTGAGAAATTACATGTCTGATCTTGGTGAATAAAATATTTGTCATGTGTTCAATCCCTCAGCTAATTTACTTTTTTTTTAGCTAGGCATGAGCTAAAACATGCTCTAGATATCTGTATTTTGTACTTTTCACAGGTTCACTTTCTGGAGTGTACAGCACTGAGATACTACCCATGTCACTATCAGATCACCATTTATAAAACTTTTCACATATGCTTTTGAAGCCATTTTTCTTCTGGAATGTTGATGGATTTTATTTACTGGTAGCGGAATGTAGAGTGTGTGTCCTGCTTTTACAGCTTTTTATTGTGGATTTTCGTTGAACAGCATCTCATTAACTTGTGTGCATTCTTGTTAATTTTTTACAATTTCTATCTTTTTGTGTTGAGATCATTGTCGATTTTGTTTACTCCTGATACTCCTGTATCTTTGCATCCCTTTGAAAAGTCTTGTCTCTCCTTAGAGACTTCAAGATTTACTTTCTAGTATTCCACATAGATATTGAAGATTTAATTTATCTCCATAACTAAAAAAAAACATGATTTGACATTTGATGGAAAAAGTAATACATTCTCAGAAAAAATGGCCTTCTTAATGTCCTATATTTTATAATCATAATCATTTTTCTGGAAAGTGCTGCCTGTTATTACCTGACGACTGACAAAAAAAAAAGTGACACAAATCAGACTCAATAATTTAAAAAATACATTTGAGAAGCTTAAAACTGGAGCTTCCTTCAGATACATATACAGTAGTACAGTCATATTTTAACAGAAGGTTAAGTTTGTGTAACGGATCTTGTTTTTCCTACATCTGCTGTCGCACAGAAATGTGGCTTTGTCTCTTGGCAAGACTGACACATCCATCTTCAAAATGTGGGTGGAGTACCACACCAAGATGTGACATCTTGGAAAATTGCCTGGATGGTACTTTATACAGTATAAATAGGAAGCACCTCTTGAAGAACTAAGAAGGTAGCAGATCAAAAACAAAATGCTGTTTGAGCGTACAGCAAAAAGAGCAAATGTTTAACAGTGGAAAGAATATTTGATGGGATTTAATTTGATTGGAAGGTTAATTGACTTCTGGGAAAATTGGACGTAGTGTAAATGTGTGTGTGTCTGTGTTTTTTTTACCTAAATTGGACCTAGTGTGAATGTGTGTGTGTTTGTATGTCTCCTGCTTCATATCTACTGCTTGCCTGCATAGGCTCCAGCTCCCCCTGACTCTGAATTGGAAGAAGTGGGTAGTCAATGGATGGATGGATATTCTATTCATGGGCAGCACTGTGGAAGAATGATTTGCATCACTGCTTTGCAGCGCTGGGACCCTGAATTCAGTTCCCTTGGGTGCAAAAACTGCATGGATTTTGAATATCCTCCCTATATTTGCATCGGTTTCCATCAGGTGCTATATTTTCCTCCCACAGTTCAAAGAAATACTGTTAAGTTAATTGGCTTCTGCAAAAATTGGTGTACGTGTGTGTGTCTGTGAGTGCTCTGCAATGGACCGGTGTTCCTTCCAGAGTGTATCCCGCCTTGCATCCATAGCTTACCAGGATAGTCTCTGGTTCCTCTGTGAGCCTGTATCGGATAAAGCTGTTAGAAAATGGATGGAGGTTCAATTTACAATAAACAACAGTAACAACCTTTACCCACATCCAGCTGATATGGGCCATACCTCTTTTTACCAATGCTCTTCTGATGAAAATGAGATATTACAAAGCATTTTGAATAATGAAAGCCAACTTCGAAACTATGATGAAACGATACGAAGGAAAAAAAAACTCCACCAAATGTAGAGAGTGAAGAGGAAAGCATCTATATGATTTGCTTCATATTGAGTGTACGCATCACATTCCACTAACTAGTATGGGCACAGAGCCTACAGAGTGGCATGAGAGTTGTGTGTGATACAGTTCATCGTGTCTTGCTTGGTGTGTTGTTCATTATTTTATGT